ACTATCACAATCAAAGACCAAACTATCACAATCAATGATCATGGGTTGCTGGTATGTGCTTGCATAATAGAATAGAATAGAACTATGCAAGCACATACAAGCTAAATCTGATGAGCTAACATCTTATTATGAACTAAATGATCTTGCATGCTAATACAATAATAGAACTATGAGCTGAATCTTCGTCATGAGATGTCATGAGCACGTTTCGATGCTTCACTTGATCCAGCGGTGGCATAGTGCCATCGGTGGGGGCGCTGCGAAGCACGGTGCCATCCTCTTTGAACGCGGTGGGTTGGTTCTTACACGGTTGGTGAGCAGTTGGACGGTTGGATTCGATCAGATGGCTTGGACAGGATCGCTGCAACCAACCAACAAACGACCAACTCGACTCAGCAGCTTCGTACCGCCTCTCGTTTTTTTGGTCATGGTAAAGAGAGGCCGGGCATGACATGTGCCCAAGATGGGGTTCATCATTGATTTTGCATGGTTTGGCCCAAAACTCCACCTCTTCCACTGCTCATTCCTTTCCAATGACCGGCCCCCGCCACCCAAAGACAGCGAGGATAGCCTCTTGCTCTCACGCGCGAATCTGATTGACTATTCGTTGATTGTGGGGCTTTTGGTGTACCAACTTGATGCGTGCAATGGACCCAACCAGCCTTCGTCGCTTGGCTGGAACGGTGGGAGACAACGTGAATTGGAAGCACCAAATTGATGTCTCAAGGCTCTCGACAACGTGAAACTCAGCAAGTTGGGAGGTCAAGGAGTTGGCGATTTCAGTTTCATCCAGTATCGATGGAGAGGTGTGATGCTCTAAGAATCCGCTGCCAGGGACCCAACACCGGGTCCGGACCCGAACCAAACCCTTTCGAGGATCCGGATTCTTAGGGTGGAAAGTCTTTCAGATTAAGAAGGGCGGCCGACACATGTGTACTAGATTGTACTAGTATCTCTGAACATGTCACACCACTTGTATATGGGGTGGCGCATTATGTGGGCAGCTTTGGATAAAGATACATAGCCCGAAGTCTTTCGAAGCCATCCCAATACATCGCATCTGACTCGCATCTGAACAGGTGCATTGCGCCCGTGTGCCATCCCGATGGTGGCTGTGGAGAGGCAGCGTACACCTTGGGCGATTACTTCACCGAGGTTAAGGTGCAACGACCGGTGAGGATATGGAAAACATTAATTTGCACCCAGAAGAGCCTGCAATTTTCGGCACATGTTAGGCAATGTGTTCAGACAAGGTGTTTTAAACCACCACCACCCAAAGGGTGGTTTATAGACCCCCTCACCATGATTTTACCATGCACCTAGTCATGCGCTTGACCGATGCCACCCTTGAGGTAGTGCTGGATTTTGTATTCTTCTCCTCCATGGGCATATGGCATATACCATACCGAATCACAGGCCAGCAGTATCCTGTTGAGCGGTGTTCCAGTTATTCACCGGCACGGTCGCACATTCTGTATTGAATTGTCTTAGAATAAATTAACTGGATCAGTTCCCTCACTCATGACACCATGTTCTGGAGTAGAAATACTCCTCCCTGATTTGTCTATGCGTTTTAGTGTTAGTTTATGTTTGCTGTTTATTGTGTTTTTCTTGAAGTTTTGGGTTCTTCTCTTGTGCTTTTTGTTTGATTGTGGTGCTTGCTGCTTCCTTCCTTCCTTCCTTCCTTCCTCCCTCCCTCCCTCCCTTCCTTGCTTGCTTGCTTGCTTGCTTGCTTGCTTGCTTGCTTGCTTGCTTAGTTTCCAAAGCGTGCGATCAATTACATATTTATCATGATATATGGTTTGGATGGCCCTATGTTATGCATCCGCACGGAAAGCCTCATCCATAATCATGTGTATCATCCATCATCCATTGTTTTCGTCCTCATCCTCAATTTCACCATCAGCATCCTCCTCCTCCTCACTTGGTTCTACCATTTGGTGATGCAAATGCAAAACATCAACAGCCGCACAAAGACTTCATGCTGGCAAATCAGTCCCAGACACGACGATATAATGGGACTGGCAGAGGACTGCCGCCCCAGAAAGACCCCCGACTTCCACCACCCCAACTGATCGGCAGTCCGGACTGGCAGTCCCATGGCCTGGGACTCATTCTCTCGTTGGATTCGGCCACCAGTCGGCACTGCGTCGGACTGCTCCAGGGAGCCGCAGGTGACCCCCTCACTGGAGCTAAACCCGAAACCCTAAACCGACCAGTCCACACCGGTTCCAATCCTCCGACTTCTGTTTGGTTGTTTTTTTCTCGTTGAAGTCGCTACTGCACTGTCCGCTGCACTAATGTCCGTGGCCCTCAGGTGCGCCACGGACATGTTTAGAGCGTTTGTTGTTTTATCCCACAGGTTTTTCGTTTGTCGTTCGGGGCCTAAAATGGTGGGATTTGAAGGTTTCATGGCTGCGTTTCATGGCAGGACTTCTACTGCACGGAGTCTTCGCTGAAAGAGAGACAACTTGGACACACCTGCCCCTCGCCACAGACTTGGCTTCGAACGAGCGAGACTTTTGTCAGGGCGCGACAGGCTTGTTTCAACTGCCACCGCAAAGAACTGGCCAGGCTTCGTATGAAGTATGAAGACGGCATTCAACCACCAACAGTTTTTCTGGTCGTCCTGGTTTCAAGTTTTCGGATGAAATATGGAAACATTTGAATTCATCAAGCGTGTGGGTAGCCATGGGCCGCTTGCTTGCTGGTCACCAGAGAGCAAGTGTAATTGAAATCAACTTCATGTGGCTGGTCTGGTCTACTTCGTCACTTGCAAGGCGAGCACATTTATTATAAACTATTATAAAATATAACATATTCCAGCTTCTTCAAAGTGACCTTTTGATGTTTTATGATCTATAGAGGTCACTTAAGCCAACTATGAAACAAAAGGTCACTTAGAAGAAGCTGGCAATGGTCACTTGGGATGTAATGTGGTCACTTAGGATATAAAGTGGTCACTTGCGTTCTTGGGGCGGGCACTTGGGTTGAGGAGGTGGTCAAACCATGTGACTTGGTACCCAGCCCTGCTCCACTTTCCACCTTTCCACTCCCAACACTTCTTGCTGGACTTTGCCATCGATGAACTCCACAAGGCTCGGTATCCGCTTGGGACATCGCTGAGAGCAGGGTTGACACACTGTTGGACACAGAATACTGAATGTAACTGGTTTCAACCTTTTTGCCCTTCTAGCTGCCGGAGCCATCGGCAACACACATAGGATGCGTATCGCAGGAGGACCTGTCGTCCCAGTAAGTGTGGCTTTGCCATCATTGCAAACTGCTTCACCTTCCCTACCTTAGACGCGCACTCGATGCATGACATGTTTATGCTTATGAACCCACGTCGATGCATCACAAGCAGCACTGCACCAGTGCCAACCCAAGAACCATGTCTTCGTCACCATATGTGGATGTCCAAAGTGGTGATAAAAGTGGCGCTTGGTCTAAACAGATGTGGTCAAGCCTCAACTGTAAGATGTGCTCTCCTTCCCACACTTGTTAAAAAGGATGCTCCTTACTCTATACTTGACCTACCAGTGTATCGATCCATCCATTCGAGAAACTTGTGAAGCTTTGGCCGAATCTTCCACCGAAGGTGACCAGCTGCAATTGCCTCCTGGGCAAGCCCTCAGTTTCCCAAAACTCTATCAGCTGCAACCATCATTGCGCATGCACTCACACTTGCCAAGCTTAATCAGCTGCTAGCCACTTCTAGCCTTCAAGTGGCCAAGGTGCAGTTGATGGCACTGTGAAGCAAATAATTCGCAGTTTGCAATTTTCTGATGCAATGCGGAGGCAGGATTGGACCATGCGACAAGGAAACTGCTTGACGGATAGCCACAGCATTGATGAAGACAGCTGCTCTCAGCCTCGTGGTTCAAAATATCACTCAAACAGCTAGCATGCAGACTATCATGCCAATCCAAACATACAGGCTGCAGATGAGTCGAGCCACTGCGCATGTTCATCATCCGGGCGCTTCACAGCAATCGCAACTGTTATCCCCATCAGCCATCTGGCAAGAATCACCGATTCCTGAGAAAAGCCAGGCTGCAATGCTAAATCAGCACACTATTCACGTATGTTTGCAAAAGCTAAGAGTCAGATCCATTGAAATGTTTCTGTGCCAAGCTGGGGAACGACTTTTTGTTTGCAATCAATTGCTTCCTCAAGTCTCAAAAAGGTCGTGCACAGGTACCATCAGTCAGAACAATGTCTTCTTGGCATATGCATTTGCACAGTTCACTGAAATTGCAAAAAAGATGCAAGCTGAACACCTGTCCCTTGTTTCCTTAGGCAGTTCTCAGTGTACTTGGCACCATTCAAACAAACTACATGCTACTCTCAGTCCCCACATTTAAGAGCAGCTGAAAGTCTGATTTTCTGTTCACGACACAACTTCACGAATTGCACGTGAGCATAGCGCAAACGGTCATCAACTGACTGACCAGGCCACACAGAGTCATCCTCAGACAGCTCAACTAATGCCTCAGGCGCCAGGGGCCAATGCAGAAAACATTGCAAACCAGGGATGCTGTTGCAAAGGTCTCCCATTCCCACCCATGCAGAAAACAAAATGACGGTCCAGCCAAAATGCTGTTGCTGCTGCATCTGGGACCACTGTCAGGTCGAAAACATGCAAGAAGTCATAGAAAAGCATTTCAGGTTGGAAGCCCGGGACCCGAATCCACGCGCAGCCCTTGCTGATATCGGAAATGAAATCGCTCAAACTTATGAGGGACAGTCGGTGTGTTGCTCCTGGCCCAAAGTAAGTGTATAGGTTCAGTGAATCCCGCACTCTGGATGCACAACACATCCAGCAAACCTGCTCTGACACCCAAGAGACTCGCATGTGGAAGGCTTTCTGCACAAATTTCTCGTCCCCTCGCATGACGCACAGGATCCCCCGGTAGCCACCTGCAATGAGCTTGCCACCTTTGCCGCTTCGGCTTGGGAGGGCCTCTGACCAAGGCCCATGCTCCACCCACTTTCCATTCATGAGCTCAGTATAGCTCCAAGCAAGCCAACTGTCTAAGCAGTCTAAGGTCTCTGGGCAAGCTCTGTTGTTGTCAACACAGTATGTCACATAGCGGTTGTCAAACGGAGAACAGTTTCCAACAACTAAAGAGGCAAAGCTTGTCACCATGAAGCTCCTGCGTCGATGACATTCAGCATCATCGCCGTGGCAAATCAAAGGGATGCATCTCGATAAATCTGTCGCCTAGAATGCAGAGCATGCACCGATGTGGCCATGACTTCCAAGCTGGACTTGCTAGCATGCTGTGTCCTTCCATGCAAACATGTCGCAGGATCCGACAGGATCGGATGTTGCCTGAAGAACTTAGTGCTTTTCATATGCTCCCAAAACCGATCGATTGCCTGAGGAATGTCAGGCGTGAAGATATTATGACAGCTGACAGCTGCTGCATAAGTATACCAGTGCCACTGCTTGCGCAATCAACATGAATTTGACCAAGTCACCCCTGGTTCTCCCAAAAAGCGTTGCTGAAACAATTCGAAGCTGTAGTGATACATCGATGCAAACCTCGCACTATATAGGATCCATGTATAGCACATGTATTAAAGCATAGCATGTTGCGCTCACAAACTTAAGCCATAGGACACTTCAGAAGGTAGGAAAAGATGCCAGCTACCCATGTAGTGTTGCTGTTCTGCAGCAACATCTTGAAGCACCACTTGTACCCTCAGTACCACTCTGGCTTTACAGTTCGAAATTGAGACTGGCATATATGGACAGAGAGATTATACAGCTGAAGCACTCGACTGGGTTTGGCAACATTCTTCTCCATGGTTGCTTGTTGACCCAATTCCAGAAGTTTCTAGGTGCATTCCGGTCATCCTTTGTTGCCTTAATGTTCAAGAGTTCCACCAAGTTGGGCCTCAAATGAAAAACAATTGCGATCGATATGTGGTTGAAAAGAGCACTGGGTCAAGCATGAAATACATATGGCAAGTTACGGGAGAAGTCTTCTGGGAAACCTTCTCCGAATCACCGACAGCAAACCCATCAGAGTGGATACACTGACCTGGGGCATAGTATACGGGGAGTCGACTGAGACATTTTGCAAATGCTTGATGATTATAATAGACACACCCACGTCGATTGAACTGCAGTCGAAAGACCCGACGTCCAAGCTCCAAGAACTCTTCGACCAGGTCCATAGTCGCAACAGCTTAAAGGGTGAATTAAAGTAGCATGCCAGCTGTATATACATGACTTTAGTGCATCCAAGCTGGAAATAAAACAAGGATCGAAACAGGTCTAGAGGTACCAGGTGCAATCATGTGAGCTCGTGATTCCCTCTACAAACAACCCACTCAACTCCCCTTGAGTGGCCCCTGCGATCACTCTTGCTGCCCGTGCAGCTGCCACTGGACGCAACCCACATCTCCAAGTGCGATGAGGCACGCCAGTGAAGTCATGGGTGGGCAAGCATGGGTCAAAGATTTTTTCTCAGCGACATCGATCCCAGTCTTTAAGCTCTTCTCACGGTCTAAGACTAAAGACCGTGTTCCGAAGAAACCCCGAACTTTTACACCAACTCAAGATTCCATGGTTGGTGCTCCCTCTATGGTCTAACATGTGTATTCACACGTTGGACTGACAAGCCTGCTGCATGCTGGCCAGTGTTGTATAGTTCAACTAAAGATATCACGATCACTGATGAACAACATGAACATACGATCTAATATATGTCTCTGAGAGGGGCCAGCTCACAGCCACATATGTCCAAAAAGTGCAGGAATCTTAAACCTGCAAAGATAGCACACTTCAACCTTGGACCAAGGACCCTGGACTGCCCTGGGAAAGATGAATCATATAACAAGACTTTGCATGGTATTGTACTAGCTATGTACATTCACACACACAGGCCAAGGGTTGAGCCTTAGTCGGAAACAGACCCATCATCGCTGCCACTCGCATTCTCAGGAGCTGCTTGGCGGCGCTTTTTGGGCCCTTTGGCATTTGCCACTCGGCGCTTAGCATCACGGACGTCTGTTTCGACCATGGTCAAAAAAGGCTTCTGGTCTTCAACAAACGCCATAAACGTATCAGCATCGATTGCTGAAACTGGTGTCTCAAGCTTTTCCAAGACCACAACGTGACGCGACTCCAGATCTGGTTCATGACCACGAAGAACCCGGACCTCCCACAGTGAAATAGTATGAAATATCACGCGACTATCTAATCTAATATCCAGTTTCCGATACAACAGTTTCATGCAGTTTCCCAGCCACTGTTTAACATATAGCCAAGGGGCCAGCTCCTCAGAGTTCCTGACATCATGCGATGTGATCTCGTTGATGCACGATGGAATGTCATTGATCAACCGCTTGAACCTGGGATCGAAACAATTCGACTCGAACCGGTTACATGCATGCAAGCTCATAGATCGATACATGTTTAATTTCATCAAGGAACTTGTTCCCAAGTGTTCTGACTTCACCTAGAGCT